CTGTGGGCAGAGACCACCAGAACTATGAAGGGTTTGGCTGGAAATGGGAACTCAGGGAAGAAGTGGAAGGAACCAGGATATTCAGTGTGGGAAGATCAGCCGGGGGCTGGGCTGGGGCTGACTGGATGGCAGTGCTGACGTCCCTTTAAGTGACAGCAAAATTACAGTTATAAAGTAGCAACGAAAATAATTTTTATGGTTGGGGGGTCACCACAACATGAGGAACTGTATGAAAGGGCCACGGCTTTAGAAGGTTGAGAACCACTGATCTAGACGATAAACTCAACACCCTGCCCCAGGTGGGCTACTAGGTGCCCCAGGCACCTGAGCTACTGAGAAGATGGAGGAGGGAGTTGGAGGCTTGGAGATGAAGATGTTGAGAAAGCTGAGAGGTCTGGGTCCGAGATGCTGGGGGAGCTGGTTGGGGAGGCAGTGGGAAACAAGGTAGGAAATGGAGATCGGAGTCTAACAAGAAGCAGGAGGGAACCATCGCGGTCAGTGACAGTTGAGCTATAGGTGTGGAGGGAATGGGGAAAACAGAGACCCTTTGTTAAGGGGAGCTATGGGGAAGTGGTAGAATGCTCACCTTCCACGCAGGAGGCCTGGTTTGGTTCCAGACCATTTGGTCCATGTGAGGCCACCGCGTGTCTGTCAGAGGAGGTTGGTGTGCTGCTCTGATGCGCACAGGTTTCCGGGGAGCTCTTAGACTAAGACTGGCTGGAAAGAAAGGCTGGGCGATCCGCTCTGGAAAACCCTGTGGATCAACCGCGGGGATGGCCCAGGGCAGCCAGAGTCCTGTTCTGTGGTGCAGGGCCCCCCATGAAATGGGGCGGACCTGGCAGCAGTGAACCACAGCAAGGGGAGCTAAGTTATTCCTGGGAGGCAAGAGCCGTGTTTTCTCTACCAGATCAGAAGCTCCCAGAGGAAGGGGTCTGTCTCTCCCGCTGGACCGTGACTGGCAGGCGGACAAGGATGAGGAAGGGCAAGAGCTCGGAGCTTCGACTCCAAGCTGCCCCTCCCTACCCATCTGCATTGGGTGGTGTCTGCCTTTCCCCTTTACTTTGAAGGCTTGCTTGATTATTTTACTCTTATCGTTCACCTTTTTTCCCCTGCCTGAGGATATACATTTACTTAATCCTTAAACTTCAATGGCTTAAGTAAACTGTGTCTCAGTATAGAACGGCCTGCCTTTTCCTGGAACAATGTACGCGTTTAAGCAGTAGGTTCAATTCTGTCTCCATTTTAGAGGGTTGTTTTATTGTAGTATGCCTTTGAATACATCTCTTGTCTCATTATTTGGAGTCTTTCCCTCAGAGGCAGCCGTCAAATTCTGCATTGAACTCTGTGTGTCTTCTGCGATGTGCTTTGACCTTTGTGTCTTGCTCACCCCTACCCACAGGGTTGCCTCCCGTTTTCTCTTGGCTATCAATTCCGTTTCCAGCAGCCCCAGGTCCCTTCCTTCTGTCGAGTTATTGACTGGCTTTTGTGGGTTGGTCTTTAGTGGGGATGCTTGGTCCTTAACGAAGACACAGGAGCTGTGGTTTCTTCGAGGCCTGGAACTTTGACTCCCTTCGGCATCCTCTCTTTCCTCCGCCCTCCGTCTTCCCTGATGTGCGTTTGTAGAGTTGCTATATATGGTTTGCTTTGTGCTGGCTCAGGATTGGATAGATCTGCCCGGCAAATTAGTGTAGAAGCGTTGCCTTTGGTACACGCTGGTTCTCCCCTCAAAGCTACAGTTTGCAAAGCTACATCCGATGGGAAATGTAGGTCCGTGTGCTTCTCTGCTCTTTTCTAGACTCCCTGTGCTCAGGCTCGTCCGCTGAGGGTGTGTTACCGGGTTCACCCCTTCTGGTTGGGGAGGTACCCCTGGGCTTCAAGCCCCTTCCCACATTCAGTGAGTAGCATGGAGCCATCCGTTTTCAGGTCTCAGCGACCTGTTCTTTGTGGCAGCCGGCAGGAAAACATCATCAATAGTAACAATGACACCCGCTGCCCTTCTTCAGAGTTGAGGACTGTAGGGAGAATGTTCAGGGTCTCCTTCTCTGGCCAACTCGGTTTCTAGAGAAATGTAGGTTGAGGAGTTCCAGGAGCACCCCCGGGTCCAGTTGTCACAGCATCGCAGAGCAGGCCCTGCCCCTTGTCTGTCTGTCACCCCCTCTGCGAGTTGCGCTGGGCTGGGCTCTAGTTCTGCTCATCTCACTAGGCAGTGGGAGGACAGAGTTCTGTCCCTTGTTTTCAATTCCCTCTGAACTTGGAAGTCTCTCCCTGGCGGGTTCCCGTCTGCCCACTCTGCCCAAGCCCTCTGCCATCCTGCACAGACACACCAGGCCCGATCCACCTCCCGCCTGCCTCACTGTTGCTCCCGCCTGTCTTCAAGGAGAGACTGGGATCTCTTCTTTCTCTCTCGGTGCTCCAGGCTTGGCCACAGCCCCTCCAGCTGTAACATAAACTTAAGTTTCGTTGTATGTGGTCTCTAGTGGTATGCCGTTGGCTCCTGTATGCACGTGGGTCCAGCGCGTCAAGCAGGCTGGGTGCAGGGAAGCAGGGCTGGTGAAGAAGCTACGGACTTGAACCCTTCCGACATCAGGGCTCCCTCCTGGAGCTGAGTGGGAGCTTGCTTTGGGGTGGGCCCAGGGCTCCCCTCTCCCCTCTCCCTTCCACAGGAAGTCCAACCATGCAGCCTGCAGCCCAGCCGGCTTGCCAGGTGGTGACTTCCAGAAGTCAGTGTTGCCTGTCAGTTGGTCCCTGGAGACAAAGGGCTGTCTGTCCATGCTGTTCCCCCACCTGCCTGCTCCAGCCACTGGCCTGCTTCCCCAGCCCCTGGGCCTGATGCTGTGGGCCCCGCCCATCTGATCAGCCTTTCCTTCCCACACAGGCATCTTCATAACAACCACATCCAGCACCTGGGGACGCACAGCTTCGAAGGGCTGCACAACCTGGAGACGCTGTGAGTGCGGGGCCAGGACTGAGCTCCGTCTGGCCTGGTGCCGAGAGCTGGAGTTCTGGGTTGGGGGGGAGGTGTGCACTCGGCAGAGGGGTGGGCCAGCAGGACTGGGAGGCTGGGATCTGGCCACAGGCCTGCTCACCCACATACTCGTCCCTGGCACCTTCTTGGAATGTCCTGAGACAGGGCAGAATGTGCCCCTCCCTCTGGGAGTGCAGGGAGGGGGACCTGGGACCCCTGTGGGCAGAGACCACCAGAACTATGAAGGGTTTGGCTGGAAATGGGAACTCAGGGAAGAAGTGGAAGGAACCAGGATATTCAGTGTGGGAAGATCAGCCGGGGGCTGGGCTGGGGCTGACTGGATGGCAGCGCTGACGTCCCTTTAAGGGCGGCTGCTGACAGCAGGGAGAGCTGTACCATGGAGTCGTGCCAGATCTTGCCAACAGATCTAACGAGCCAAATGATTAATGGGGAAATGACCCATTCAGCACTCCGGCCTAACTATAAAAAGCACCCAAGCTGTTGACTCTTAAAACGCCATATTATTCACACATCATCATCCTGGAATCCAGCGAAGGTCAGAATGCACCCGAGCCTCCCATCACTTCCTCTGGACTCCCGCCAGCCCCCACAGAGTGGGCCGAGGGGGCCCCACTTGAGCAAACAACTGGCCAGGCTCTCCAAAGTGCGGCCATGCCAGCTGGGGTCCCTCAGCTCCCACGAGGGGGTTGGCTGCCCTGGCCACCTGGTGCGGTGCTGGCAGGGGGTGCTGGCAGAGAAGGGCCCACAGTCACCAAGTCTGAGACACTGAGCCTGAGGGTGGGCTCAGCATTGAGGGGGTGGTCACACTTCCTCTTGCCCCTACCCCCTACTCCCTGTTGCGTACATCACACCCTCCCACCCCTTGCACCTCAATCTCAGAGCACCATTCCCGAGGTGCAGGGGTTTCAGGGACCCAAAGCAGCAATGGAGAAAATGCTGGGAAACGAGCTATGACCCGAGGAAGCCACACGTTGGGGAAACAAACCGTTGCCCGAGCCTGTCCCAGGAGGCCCCGGCTGTCTGCATCTGTGGTTGTGGAGGGAGGAGGGTATGGAGGTTGAGACCAGGGGTCCAGCTGCTCATCTGGGGGTGGGAGGCATGGATACCCAGGGTAAGCTTGCTCTCTGGGCTCAGCCTGAGCAGGCGGCCTGGCAGTGCCCAGCCTGGCTCTCCCGCCATCGTCCTTCAACTGACTGAGGGCAGCGCGAGCCTCTCCCTGCTACTGTGCACGGCTTGAGCCTTGGAAACTCTGCGCCCTTCACTTGCTCCCTGAAACTCTGAGATTAAAGCTGGACAGCCCAGTCCTTTCAATCAACAGACGAGATGATAGATGTCCAGGAAAGAGGCGTGGCCCGCAACAGCAGATCCGGGGCATCTTCATGAGAACACGCAAGGCAGTCCCTCGTTAAAGCCTGCTGGTGGAATGGGAATGGCACATGCTCCCCTGGGGCAGTACAATGGTGGAGCACTTGGCTGCTGACAGAAGGGTTAGTGGTTCAAATCCTCCAAGAGGCTCCACGGGAGAAAGACGGGACTTTCTACTCCTGCAAAGAGTTACAGTCTCAGAAACCCACAGGGGCAGGTCCACCCAGGCCCAGAGGGTCGCTCTCCGAGTCAGCATCGGCTGGATGTCAGTGAGTCTGAGTTTGAAATGAGGGGGGCCCTGGTGGCAGAGGGGGTTGTATGTTCAGCTGCTACCTTCACGATAAGCAGGTTGGTCCCACTGGCTGCCTCGGGGAGGAGGTGAGATTTTCTGCTCCTATGATTTATAGTCTCTGAAACCCCAAAGGGGCAGTTCTACCCTGTCCCGTAGCCTCACTGCAGGGAGCTTGGTGTTCTTTTCAGGGGTAGGCGGTGGTCGGGCCTCACATCCACGGTGTTTGGCATCTGCAGACATCAACAGACTAGGAAGGAGTCCAGGGCCCTGGGCTCGGCCTGTGGGGGCTGTTGGCTATGCTGGGAAACTGCGTGGGGGAGGGGTGCACGCACTCATTGTGGATTGGCAACCCTAAAAAGCCAGCCAGCAGCTGTTTCTTCACTTTTGGGGCACGCTGCCTAATTCTTTCTCAATTAGCCGCTGGATTGCTGCGCACATGGGGCATGTGGCTCCGCTGGTGCTGGCGTAATTACAGAGCAGTGTCGCCGCTCCGCGCCCCCTGTACCTTTCATCTATGGGAATGCCCGGCTCGGCGTGCATGCGGCGGAGCTCAGGGCCTGCGCCCACTTTGCAGATGGGGCAGCCAAGGCCAAGAGAGGAGACCGTGATTTGCAGAGTAGACAGGTGGCAAAGCCAGTTACCCCCGGTATCTCACCGCTTGGGGCTGCCAGGTGTACTTGCTGTGTGACGTTGGTCTAGTCGTTTGCAGTCTGGTCTGTTTCCAAATCCCCACCATCGCAGCACGGATCTGACTGACCTTACCCGCACGCCTGGTTAGGAACCCGCCTGCACTCACTGCCCCCCTCCTCTGAAGCCTCAACCCCAAGAACACCCCTTCCTTCCCTACCCTTAAGGGGTACGTTTTTCTTCCAACTTTTGATCTCCAATTAAAAAGGGGAAAAGAGCGTTCTTTATCCCCTGCCCCCAGAGCACTTGCTGAGGAGCCTGCAGGGCCAGTCAGATGGGGGTGCGGGGGGCGGGGGTGGAGAATAAAAGGAGAAAGCAACAATAGTCAAACCTTTTAATTGTTGCATAATTGGCACGCAACAACCTCGGTTATTACTCTGGAGCGTTTCATGTGAGCGTCTCACTGGAAGGGTATTTCTCCCTGGGGCTCCGTAAATCTCTGCCACTTAGGCCTCTCTCATCTCCAGCAGCCGAGGGAAGATCAAACCCCCGCGGCCGAGCTGTGGTTTGGCTCAGGCTGCAGACTCCTCGCAGGAGCAAGAGCCAGCACCCAGCCATTCCACCTGGGGAAGCGAGTGGGTGCAGGCACACACCTCGCAGTCTCGCGGGCCGCCCTTACCAGGTGGGGGTGGGGGGGCACCCGCAGCAACATCAGCCAGAGTCTCTCTGAGCCTCGCTGTACAATGGGTGAGAGAAGCAAGCACCCGGCAGGCATTTATTCGAACTCTTTGCTGTTGTGCTAATTGGTGATCCCATGTGTGCTGCCCATGGCTTTTCTGATATAAAATCACCAGGCCTTTCTTCCGAGGCACTGCTGGGTAGTCTCAAACCTCTCGCTTCCTGTTCTCGGGCAAGCGCATTAACCCTCCGTGGGACTCCTTCATTCCAAAAGAGCAGGGCAAGCCCAAGTGCTCCAGGGAGCTGTGCACTGCTGGGTGTTCTGCCCGGCTGAGCAGAACAGGCTGTACAGACCCCACTGGCGCAAACATGGCCTCGGCGCCGAGCAAGACTGCTCATGCGGGCAGCCTGACTGACCCATGGCCCGTCCCTCCTTCCAGCCCTGCCTGCTGAGAAATTCCGAATCTGCCTGCAGTCCTGGCTTCACACTCCTTTCTGCCATGGCCGCGAGGGCGGCCCACTCCTCATTAGGCGGTTCAGAGTCAGAGACAGGCCAGCCCCCGCTTACAAAGTCTGATTTCCTTCACTTTCCCATTCCAGCCCAAATCTGGGGATTTGTGGTGAGGCGCTGGTAAAGGGTGGGTGGTACGCCCGCCCATGGAGCCCCCATCACTTGCCTCCTGACCCTCGCTGCATTCTGCACTGACTCCCACCCGGTGAGTGGATCCCAGGACTTCCCGGGGTTCTATGTAGAGGGAACGTGTGGCCAGTGAAGAGTCCGGGCAGGTCGTGGGCAGAGGTTGCGGGACTCTCGCTCAGCACTGGAAAATGGCTCTTGGAGGCCTAGGGGAGTCATCCCAGCCTGAGAGTTAGTCCCCCAGCAGCACCCACTTATCCGCAACTCCCTGACTCTACCTGACAATAAAACTGGTACAAGGTAAACAAATAAGCAAGAAACTCAAAGAGCCCCCACCCCTACCCCCTTGCTGTGCCCAGTGTGGGAACCTAATATCCCTATCGCAACTAGAACTCAGAGTGGGGCAGGATTTAGGCCAAATCTCGGCGGGGGGT